AAAATATGTGAAAATGAGAACCTTTATAGATTACAATCTGTCATCGAAAAAAAGCAAACGTGGGCCTATCTAGACAATTCTCTGCAATTGGGACTGGTATATCGAGTTCCAGATTATTCATTAAAAAGTCTTACTGAAATCACTAAAATATCGGAGGATGTCCCGTTATATCGTAAACATACAAAACCAGCAAAGAAAGGCCCAAAGACGGGCGGGCCGACTTTATAATACACTATGAAGTGTGACACTTTTAAAGGGGTAACCATGAAAATAATTGATAGCAATAAGATGAAGTTGCCAACCATTATTAGAAAGCAGCTGATCATTCCAATTACCTAAATGTCAACAAGGGGAAAATTTAAAAAGAAAATGGAAAAATTAAATCAAGAAAATGACAACCAGAATTTCCTGTCGAAAATTATCAGAAAAATCTTTCTTTTTACTTTATCAGTGAAGAAGATTGGACCGAGAAAAATGTACAGTTTTTGGTGATGTACTTGTAGGCTACCAGGCTTCAGTTAGCTCCTCGATTTAATGTGGTATCGACGTACCTTCTTTTGTTTGCCCTTATCTGAAATTCAAAATGAAAAAATTATTATTAATGTTCTGACCCTGGAATATAATTAACAAGTAAAAACAAGTAAGCAAAGGCTACAGTCGAGCGGGGCCGACCGTTGAATACCCTACAACACTATAATAAACCATACAGTTTATATAGGCGAGATATTCGAATGAATTCCACAAGATATTGTGACAAATAATAAAAGAAAACCATCAGGTTTCGTTCTCTAATTTTCGAATAATAGCAACTTAAACTAATTTGCTCATTTCCATCTTATTGGTAGATGTTGCACTTAAATGGTCTTCCTAGATCTGGAACCAATATTTCCCAAAGAGCTATAATCTCCCAGAAGTGGCAAAAGATTAACATTTATTATTGGTTTTTTACTAAAACGCATCTATATGAGATACAGACATTTGACTATATTCTTCAACGAAATCAGAAGTGCGTCTTTCCTGTATTTGTAAATTCTCCAAAAAGTCACTGGAATGGATATTTTCGTATTTTGTCTACAAAAGTTGGCAAACTATTTCACACATTGAATATTTTTGGATGGCCATCCAAAGCTATTTGGTTTTTGCAATGTCCGGTAACCTCCATTCAAATGCGCGTGAGGATCGGGTGATAATTACGACTTGCTGACAATTTTGCAGTTTTTTTGTCCATTTCAGCCCCTAATTATATGGCGATTATCTCCAAAAAGAGTAGGCTTCTATTCTGAACCTCATGTTATCCCTATGCAAAATTTCATAAGGATCGGGCCATAAATGCGATCTGTATATGATATCCTGGTATCCTAACTACTTAGTTTTGTCAGCTGTAGAAATATTACCAAATGTTTAATTCAAAATGAAAATATGCCAAAAATATAAAAAAATTTAAAAAATATGAGAAAATGTTACAAAATCAATATTTTCATCTTTAGAGAGATATTTTTATGCGATTTTTTTAGACGTTTTTTGTTTCCTAACAATAGGCCATTCTGAATTAATGAGAACTGTCGAAATCAGTTCAGCCGTTCTCGACATATAAGAGATCTTTCAAGCATATCTTCTTTGATAGACATATATATCGCACCTATTTTGCTATATATCCGATTTGTTGAATTAACATCAATGTAAAGGTCAGAAGTAATCTTGTCATGGCTTCGTGATTTCGCCGGGATTTAAAATATTCATTTAATTAATTCATTTAATGAAAAATGTTGAATTTTTTCAACACAAAATATATGGTCTATTTTACACGCTAAATATTATCCTATGACCACCCTAATTGGTAGGCTTATTCCCCGCCCTAAACTCTAGCTACATACGAAATTCCGCGTCGATTGGTCTATAATTGCGACCTGTATAGCTACTGCAAAATCCGATATTTTTTCAGTATTTGGTCCATTTCGACCCCTAAATATTACGCGATCATCTCCAAAAGAAATAGGGTTCTATTCTGACCCTAGCCCCACCTCCATTTTAAATTTCGTGAAGATCGGGCCATAATTGCGACCTGTAGAGTGATTACAAATTAACATGGACGGACGGACATACATAGATAGATCGACTCAGCTCGGCGAGCTAGGAAGATCCATATATACTTTCCTATATGGGAAACCAATATTTCGAGGTGTTAAATAAATTCTGGCCCAATCAAACTTATAATACCCCCAACACATAGTGTTGTAGGGTATAAACATTAAGTTCGGATGAACCGAAATTTTAATACCCTACACCTTAGGGTAAAATAAACATTTTTATATAAAAGTACCTGAATTCAAGCGTGTTTCACTTTAAACTTCATATTCCAGTAAGACCGTTTGGATAATGTATTATCAAACCAGTAAAGAAACTCCTAAAGTCGTGCGGGGCCGACTTTATGATACCCTACACCACTTTTTATGGGAGAATTTAATCATACACGCTATGATTATAATTAGTATTTAAATTTCAAAGTACGAAATATGCCGACGCATTTGTATCTTTTAAAGTCAGACTGGTATTGCCCGTTTGGTGCAAAATTAATTCGAAATCAGATAAAGATATATATGGGAGCTATATCCAAATCTGAAAAGATCTCGATAAAATTTGGCAAAGATATTTCTGAGCTGTATTTGATATATTTCTCTGAATATCGTTGTTAGGGAGTGCATATTACGGCTGTGGGTAACGAATACAACAAATCGTATGAACAATATATATAGGAGCTGTAGCTATATCTGAACTGATATTCACCATACCAGCTTCTAGACTATATTCGGTCGCATGTGCCAAATTCCATCCCATTTGGACAAATATTAGACGTTTGGTGTACAATAAAAGGTAAATCGGACGAAGATATATATGGGATCTATATCCAAATCTGAACCGATCTCGATAAAATTTAGCAAATGTATTTCTGATATATTCCCCCAAATATTGTCATTAGAGAGTGCATATTACGACGGACTGACATGCATAAATCAACTCAGAAAGTGATTTTATGGAGATCCACAAAAGTAACTATGGGTCTATCTCGCTTCCTTCGCCATGTTACAAACAAATGCACAAAGACATAATACCCTTACCACTATGTGGTGTAGGGTATAAAAATCATAAAGTGAGTCAGGCCGTTATTGTAAATGAGACTAGAATTATCAAAATACCGAATGTCGGTGGGTATCGTTATATGCGCGCTATAGGAAACGTTGAACTAAATATTCAATATTCTGCCAACGGGCTAGAACCCATTATGAACAACAAATACCAATTTTTAGAAAAATCCGTGAAAAATGTGAAAAAAACATCAAAGTATCGAATATCGGGAGGTACCGTTATACATATATACAATGTTACCCGACACGAGCTAGAACCCATTATGACCTCCAAATATCAATTTTTAGACAAATACGTGAAAAAATGTTTCGAAAATCCTCAAAATACCGAATATTGGGAAGTACCGTTATATGGGGGCTATTCCAAAACGTTAACCGATTTACAATACCAACCATCCTAGAAACAATACAAATCGTTCTGCCAAATTGAATATATATACTTTATGGGGTCTACGACGAATATTTAGGGATGTTACAAACGGAATGACAAATTTAATATACCCTCCTTTCGAAGGTGGAGGGTATAAAAAGCTAAAACACTAAATATACGTACATACTTACGTCTTGGGAATAATATATTTGGGAGCTTTATCCAAATCTGAACAGATCTTGATACAATTTGGCAAAAGTATTTCTCAGTTGCATTTTATTTATTTATCCGATTATCGTTTTTACGGAGTGTATATATGCTGCTAAGAATAACAAGTAAAAAAGCTGTAAGTTCGGCCGCGCCGAACTTTGAATACCCTCCACGATTTGTACCAAATTTGGCACCAAAATACCTAATGTAGCCATATATTAGGGTCTATACGACGACGTACAATATTAAAATGCGAAACTTGAAAAAAATCTGTTTATGATGAAGCTAAAATCATCAAAATACCGAATATAGGGAGGTACCAGGGGGGTTATAAAAAGTGGACCTGCACAGACAATTTTCTGGCATACGCTGTAGTATTCATTGCGAACTTCAAATTTGAAATAGTTCCGGTAAATAATGTCGCTAAAATCATAAAAATAGGCCACCAGTTAACGGTGCCCCCCGATATTCGGTATTTTAATTATTTTTTCCACATTTATCCACGGATTTGTCTACAAAATTGTTTTTGTAGTTTGTAATGGGTGACAGAACAATATATAACGGTGTTCACCGATATTCGAATTTTTTATAATCCCAGTCACATGTACCAACGGAATTGTTTCTTATTTGTTTTTTTGTTATATAAAATTATCTATATAGGTTCTCGTTTTGGCATGGCCCCACTTTCCCCACGTCTGTATTTTGCCAGTAAGCAGGTTCATATAATAATGTTATAGGGTATAAAAATTTCAAAACAATCAACACTTGAACTGCAATACATTTTCAGTGTACTGTAGTATAAATGTGTGTGTATGTGTGTGCGTGTATTTTGAATATGTCCTGTTTGGTTTCTATGTAACGTCCATTTGTGTTTGACTTTATTATAGTATCGAGCAAACAAATCGTCATGGGTCAGTTTTGTTTGGAAAACTATAGAACTACACACGAAGGGACTGGGCGAGCGAGCGAGCGTTGGCTTTGTTGGTTGGTTGGTTGTTCGGTCGGTCAGTCATTTGATTAGTTAAAATATGTGAATGTATGCTGATGTAGGAATAATGGTCGATGGATGGAAATTAGCCGTATGTATGTATGCATGCATGTAAGTGGTGACCGCTACAAATGGTCAAAGGTAGAATGAAACGCGTTTTGTGAATTTAGTTGTTAAGCAGCTGCGTACTTCAACACGTCTTACATAAAACGCTAATAAAAGAATTCGAGTAACAGGGAAAAAAAATAATTTTTCATATACAATACGGATACGGAATACAACAAAAATTTTTTACAAAAACAAGGAATATATCATAGAAATAAAAGTGTTTTTTTAAGTTTCGGTACCGCAATATTAGATCAAACTTAAAAATACAAAAAAAAAAAAGGAAATTAGTATTTTCTATTTATACATTAACAATCTACCATGGGCTGTGCCAGCAGTACGCCTATGGTACAGACAGCTGGCAGTGAAATACTTAAGGCAGCCACACATGTTGCAGAAGACGCCACAAAAACAGCCGAAGAGGCAGTGCAAGGTAAAGCGAAAGCAACTGCAATAAAATTGCATCTAGTATATCGCTATCAAGTGTGTATTGTTCGCATGTGTGTCGCAGTGTGCACATATGGAACCTGTGTGATTTCAACAGTGGGAAATTGGATTAAGACATTATCGTCGGTACATTATTAATAAATAATGAATAATTTGTAGGAATATTAACTAGGTTAGTTGGAATTTTCAAACCAACACATATTTGTGAAGTTTTGCCCGAAGTGGTTCAGATTGGTTTTTTCCTCGTCAAAATTCGAAAAACTTTAGAATAGTTAGAGATATTTTTATGAATTATTGGATAAGTGCACATACAGGTAAAACAATAAAAATTAAACCAAAACGGAAAAGTTAAAAGTCGGGGGTTGCCAACTACATGATACCCTACACCACAATACGTATCTAGTAGAGCTCCCGTAGTAAAAGAATTTATATTGGGAATTTATTTGAAGCAGATCTTACCACCTATTTATCTTTGGCTTTTGAGCAGTTATAATTAGGATTCAGAAGGAACTAATATATAGGAGGCACATCCAATTTTGAATCGATTTTCATCAAATTTGACGGAGACATTTGTATCATTCATACCAAATAAAATCGCTATAAAGTGCTTGACATCACAGGATAATATTAGAAAAATATTGTATATCGGTCCCGATTTCCACCAAATGGAAACGTACATCCCAAAATGCACCCATTTCGGTGCAAAAAAATGCACCCATTGGGATGTCACATAATTTCCATTATGTGCACAATAAACTTGAAATCGGATTAAGGATATACAGGTTGAGATGAAAAACTGCAACCAACTTCAGACTGCTGTCATTTCCAAGCTACACGTCCGACAGCTGTTAAAATTATTCCAGCTCATTATATTGCTTATAAGCGTACAAAAGCATTTGGTGAAAAATCACAAGTGGCTATCGTTAGAGCACTCCAGCATTTAAATGTGAATAAATCTTTTGTATCTCGTAACATCGCTCGTTACCGTGATGCTGGTCAAGGAAGTAGACGGAAGAAAACAGCAACATCAGTAGAAAGGTTCGAAAAGTAAAGAAGCGACTTGATCGAAACACGCGTCGTCGCGACCGAAAAATGGCTCGTGAGCTGAACATATTGCAATATTCCATTCGGCAAATATTGAAAAATTAGCTCGGGGTAAAGCCATTGAAATTCCAAAAAATGCAAGAACTTACACCGCAACAGAAAGAAAATAGACTCAAAAGAGCGAAAGATTTTCTTCGATTGACCAATAGTGGTGAAGTGCCGAATTTGGTTTTTTCTGATGAAAAAGCATTCGTTGTCCAGCAGTTTGTAAACAAACAAAATGATCGTATTTACTTGCCAAAGAGGTCAGCTGAAAATGTGCACCTTCGGTTGGCCACCAGAACTCAAGCGCCGGCCATGGTGATGGTGTGGGCCGCCATAACAGCCGATGGTCGCTCTCCGCTCGTATTAATTGACCGTGGCATCAGAATAAATGCCGAATATTATAGTGAAAATTTTCTCTAGGGTGTATTCAAGCCTTGGACACGCAAACTTTTTCCCCGCAGACCTTGGACATTCCCAAGAATGGTTACAAAATGAGGTTCCTCGCTTCATTTCCAGCGCATAATGACCACCAAAATCTCCGGATACCAATCCGTTGGACTATTGTGTCTGGAGTTTTTTGGAAAGCAAGGTTGGCACTAAAAAATACCAAAGTGACGATCACCGGAAGTTCGGAAGAAGTGTTTCAATATTGTCCATTTCGTATCTGACCTAAGCCTGATATATTCATATCGACTAATTTTTTCACATTTTATGAGATTTGTGTTGATTTTTGGAACTTTGTGAGGGAGGTACCAGAAGAGGTGGGCCGATATATAACATCTATTGGCCAAGATGCATATGTTCTAAAAACGTTATTTCGATGTAGTATTTTGAAACATATTTTTTTTATATTTTTATACCCTACACCACATAGTGATAAGGGTATTATGTCTTTGTGCATTTGTTTGTAACATGGAGAAGGAAGAGAGATAGACCCATAGCTACTTTTGAGGATGTCAATAGAATCACTTTCTGAGTTGATTTATGCTTATCAGTCCGTCTGTCCGTCCGTCCGCCCGTCCGTCTGTCCATGTATTCTTGTGAACAAAATGCAGGTCGCATTTATTATCCGATTGAGATGAAATTTTCCAAACAACATTTGTTTGGCCCAAGGAAGAACCCTATAATTGGAGATAATCGGTCAAAATTTAGATATAGCTCCCATATATATCTTCGTCGGATTTGCCTTGTATTGTGCACAAAACGTGTAATATCAGCCAGAACAGGATGGAATTTTGCACATACAACCAAATTAGGCCTGAAAATAAGTATGCCAAATTGGATCGAAATCGGTTCAGATATAGCTATAGCTTCCATATATATTGTTCATCCAATATTTTATTTTAGTCCTCCGCAGCCGTAATATTCACTCTGTAACAACAATATTTGGGGAAATCTATCAAATACAGCTCAGAAATAACTCTACTAAATTTTATCGAGATCGGTTCAGATTTGGATATAGCTCCCATATAAAACTTCGTCCGATTTACCCTTTATTGTGCCCCAACGTCTAATATTTGCCCAAATGGGATGGATTTGGCGCATACGACCGAATTGAGTCTAGAAGGTAGTATGCCAAATTTGGTGAAGATCGGTTCAGATATAGCTGTAGCTCCCATATATATTGTTCATCCGATTTGTTGTATTTGATACCCACAGCCGTAATATTCACTCTGTAACAACAATATTTGGGGAAATCTATCAAATGCAGCTCAGAAATAACTCTACTAAATTTTATCGAGATCGGTTCAGATTTGGATATAGCTCCCATATAAAACTTCGTCCGATTTACCCTTTATTGTGCCCCAACGTTTAATATTTGCCCAAATGGGATGGATTTGGCGCATACGACCGAATTGAGTCTAGAAGGTAGTATGCCAAATTTGGTGAAGATCGGTTCATATATAGCTGTAGCTCCCATATATATTGTTCATCCGATTTGTTGTATTTGATACCCACAGCCGTAATATGCACTCTGTAACAACGATTTTCAGGGAAATATATCAAATACAGCTCAGAAATATCTTTGCCAAATTTTATCGAGATCGGTTCCGTTTTGGATATAGCTCCCATATATATTTTTAACCGATTTCATATTAATTGTGCACCAAATGATCAATACAAGTCCGAATTTAAAATATAGAAATGCTTCGGCATATTTAGTCCTTTGAACTTTAAATTATAATTATAATCATAGCGTGTGTGATTGAATTCTCCAATACAAATTTTAATTGTTATGTGGAGCTCTACTAAATTAGCATAGTGGTGTAGGGTATCATAAAGTCGGCGCCGCCCGACTTTAGGACTTTCTTTACTGGTTTCATTTTGACTTATAATATTGAAGTGTATATTTTGTAATATTTCTTCACCTTACAACACAGGTTGGTATTATTATATACAGATTTCAATTATCGTCCGATCCTCAGGAAAATTTTCACAAGGGTAGGGTTAGGCTCAGAAGGGCTAGACCTATTTTTTTCAAAGATGTCCGCGATATATTTAGGGGTTGAAATGGACCAACAACTAAAAATTTGCCTGAAGTTATAGTGTAGGACGGCGGGTAGAATGAACCACAACTTTTGTGTAAAAAAATACCTGCATTATTTACAGGCGATATCCGAAATACACAAAAGGCGAACTTCTGGCTTTTTATGCTGATTTCATTGATGAATATAGCCAAATATCGTAGAGAAGCAAATCATATAGACGAGTCTCAAGATTGGAGATGGTCGCAAAATATTTAGGGGTTCAAATGAACCAAAAACAGAAAAAATTTCCTGATCACACAATTGAAGCCAATTGACACGCCTGGGAAGAGAGCTAGGGATAGGGAAGAATTCTAGCCTTTTGAATAACCATTCAATGGTTTTTAGCTTTAAAATGGACCACAACAACTAACAGCCCGACGAAGTGCGTAAATTATGGGCAGATATCCCTGGTCTAAATATCTGCACAATACTCCGCCAATCTTCCAATATAGATTTGGACATAAGAGGGCTTCTAACATATTATAGCGTTGTAGGGTAAAACATAGTCGGTCCCGCACGACTATAGTCTTTGCTTACTTGATTTATTTATTTTTGGTTCTCACATAATTCAAAATTTCACCCTCTTCTTTGTACAAACACCCACACCAAACGGTTTGACCTGTCTTATGAATGTACTTCATCATTGAAGAGAATGGTTGTCAGCTGTTTTGATATGTGACAGTTTGCAGCTGTCATCTTGTTCTCCTCACAGAGAGAAGTACACTTGTTGCGGAAGATGGGTGGCCAAAAGTGGGAAAATTTTGTTGTTGGTTTACCATTAGTAAAGCCACAGAAATTTCCATTCGAAAAAAAATAATTTTTGTTATTTAAAAATAAACTTTCATATATGGCATTTAAGTGTCTAGTCGCTTGTGTGCGTGTGTGTGTAGAGTTGAACTATAAAAGATGACAAACTTTTGGTTTTGTTTTTTACAAAACTTATTTTTGTTGACTGCCCTTAAATGTTGTTGTAAACCTTTGTTGGCTGGCATCTGTTGACAGGACCGGCCTGTGCTGTGCCACTGAAACCTATTGTGTGGCTTTGTGTGTCGGCCACAAAATAAAGTGGCCAATTTTCTTTATTGGTTAGTTAATGGGCAAGTTGCCTCGGAGGGGTGGGTAGGGACGCCCGATTATTGTTGTGGACAAAAAGCTTTTGGTTATTTATACCGGAAGTGTTGTAATTTCACCTATAGGCCATTACAATAATTGGCTTAAATTTGTTGCGGCTTTAAATGAAAATCAAAGTGAAATGTTAATGAATGCCTTTAAATGCTGGCTACCGATGGCGAAAGGGCAAATACAAAATAGTTATGGCCGGTGGGTAAGCGAAAAAAATAAGATGTGGTATTTTCGGTAGGCAAATTAT